GGGCTGAAGGCCCCTTACATCATTCGATCATGTTCTTCAGCAAATCGCGTGACAGAAATGGTCGGGCCGCAGGCCCGACCATCGCCGCCGGCAGGCCAAGCAGGCCCGGCCCCTGCCGAACGGAGTTGCCGGCGGAGCGAAGCGAAGCGGAGCTGGCAACTTCGTTTGGCGGAAGGGCGGGCCTGCTTGTTGATTTTTTGACAGGTCAATTTTTAAGCCAGAGGGCTCAAAATCTATAGTTTTTCCTTTTTATACCACAAAGCTACGCTAAAAAATTCAGGTACCTAGCTCAAAATGTTCTCGAGTTGTCGGGTAGTAGAACCGCGTAATGCAGTGTCCTACGGAATACTCTGTACAGGTTTTCTTAGAGCGACCCCCCCCCCTCTTCCCCCCTCGCTAAACACACGCCTCATTTCTCCCGACGGCCTAGCTCTAGCTCTTGCCACGGGTATAGGGTTGCGAAATTACCGGTAACAATCAATGTTACCGTAAATTACGGTAAAAATCGTAATTTACCGGAAATTTTGGAAAAATTGGAAAAATTCAATTTGAAGCAGAAAAATTGGCAATATACTATTTCTTGGCGATCGAAATTCATGTGTACTGCCTAAAAAGTGACGGAATAGCCGGTCTTAGCTATACTCATTGGAATATTTGTGTTTTTCATCTTGTTCTCATCAACATCAGTTGTATATAGAGTTACCAGAAGTACACCTATAAAAATTGTTATCTAAAGCTATGCCTTTTAAACTTCAGGTTAATGACAAATTCGCTATCTGGTCTCTAAAAAGTGAATAAATAGGTGATAATATGTCATATTTACTGTTCCAAATGTGACTTTTGCTTCTGAAAAGTGTTTTTAACTCATTTTGTAGGGTTATTATTAGGGTAAGTCGTATATTGCTTATTTTCGATTCTTCGGTTGTAATAGTGTTTTTCAGGCGCCATTTTGGATGAAAACTCCTGGAAACATGTTTTAAGTTTTTTCCTTTAACGTTTTCATAACCCTACCTTGCCTGTTATTCTGGCCTGCCATAAGAGGTGGTTTTGAAAACTTCAATTTTGGGCGTATTTTTTTTTGACCGAACATGCAATTCTACGGCCCTCTGGGTGAAAATTTTAAGGAGAAGGCTCTATCTCAGCCGGTTTTCGAGCTACGAATTATTATTGGAAGGGAAAAGGTTGCTTATTTACCGCAATATAAAAACAATTCATATCATGCAAACCGGCAGAGATAGAGCCTTCTCCTTAAAATTTTCACCCAGAGGGCCGTAAAATTGCGTGTTTAGTCAAGAAACAAATACGCCCAAAATTTAAGTTTTCAAAACCACCTCTTATGGCAGGCCAGAATAACAGGCAAGGTAGGGATATGAAAACGTTAAAGGAAAAAACTTAAAACATGTTTCCAGGAGTTTTCATCCAAAATGGCGCCTGGAAAACACTATTACAACCTAAGAATTGAAAATAAGCGATATACGACTTACCCTAGTTATTATTACCGTTTTTTTCAACGTTACCAAGCTTTTGGTAAATTACCGTAAATTACCAATTTTTCTGGTAACGTTACCGGTAACATTACCGGCCATCGCAACCCTACACGGGTAGCTCTTGTGGATCCTAGCTGTTGTGGCTCTAGCTCTTGTGAACCACCCCGTATTACACTGATATTGCATGAAAACATTTACCATTGTTAAGCACATCTAAATGTTTTTAGGCATTACATCATGCGAAATACCGCATTATGCCCACGTTAGATGTTCAGGGTATCATGCAAAGTAAACCTCTCTCGTCATTCCGTTTCCACTACCACTCACTGATACCAGAAAGAAACGTAGCACTACACGAACGAATCCTGTCACTTGTTGCGTTAGAATGGAGTTCCAAGTCCTCTGCTTCAAGTTTTCGATGAAGCTTGGCGTCGGGGAAGGTCCATTTAAGTCGCTAAGTGGAGGGTCTTAGGTTGATATAATACTGTTTTTCACACAAAATCTTTCCTTGACTCCTAACGGGTCTACGGAAGGACCTAATGCTCTTCAGTGCCAGCAACGAAATATTTATCTCCGCGTGAAGAAACTGCTACGGTGCCATGCAGCACGTGATCTCATGTTATAGTTGCAACAAACACGCCAGTACCAGTCGACTTCCGGTCGAATTCACACATCGCGGTCCATGCAACCAGTAAAACGAGGGCACCTGAACTGTCCATCTTTACGTTTTACTGTTAACCAGGGATGGGAAACGAAATAAAGTTAAATTTTAAAAGGTCGATATTATGCTAATTTGTATGTTACCAGGTAGATGTACGCCAGACCACGTCTCGCGTAACAGGTTTCGCGATCTCACGAAACACTGTTGCGTTGCGAAGCGCCTTGCATACACCTACCTAGGCCTGCGGCGCTGACACCCGAGTCCGTTAGCGCAAAAATGTACTCAAAGATACGAGCCTCTGGCCCGTCAACTTCCCGTCACTTCGACTAAGCATGCAGGTTTGTACATTTTTTCGCTTGCTTTCATCCTAAACTCCGTGTGGCGCCTAAATGGTTTAAGATAGAGCCAAACAGACGAAATTTTCGCCCAGAGGGCTCTACTTTTATGAATTACCCCTTAGGATACTGTCAAAATAATATTTTTAAAAACCCTTATTTGTAAGACCAGTGGTTTTTGATTTTTTTTTTTAAATCCAACTTTTGAGCTAGAGTGCTCTTCTTTGAACTTGATCTGTCTTCTTATGATACAAAATGACCTTGATAATAGGGTATTTCAATGGAGCGCTGCCCGGAACTAAGAAGAACAAAACCGGACACAGAGAGCGGTGGTGGGGGCGGGCGAGCGGA